GGATAAGTACACCTGATAGTCTAGATTCTGGGGGCTCAGTAGACAGAGTTTATGCACACGTGCTTTACGAGGTATGGTCCTCATAATGGAGATATTTCCACTTATGGCAGGAAATAAGATTGTGTACAGAAACCCCGAGAAGAAGGGAGTATCTGGTAACATGCCATTCTCCAAGCAAGACTGGCATTCCAGGAGATATGCTGGGAGAAAACCACAAAGTGAGAGCATGACCTTTCTCTTGTCTGTTTGTTGACCTAACCTAGTACCTTGGTAATGAAGGGACATTATAGATGCTTACTGGGTATTTAGCAAAATTCAACTCACATCTCTGTCCATTCAGCAGGGATCTTTCAATTCCTAAGACAGAAAGCAATGAAAAGCTGAGATTGAACTTGCAGTCAGGAGACAGACAGACCTGAATTTGGTTGTTAAGTCATTTACCAGCTCTGTGGTCTTGGTCAAGCTGCTAAACTTCTGAGCCTCAATTTCTTCATTTATAAAATCGGGGAGGCAGAGGTTGCAGTGAAACAAGATCATGCTGCTGTACTCCAGCCTGGGCAACAGACCCAGACCCTGTTCAAAACAATGATAATAATAACTAATAATAATAGTGCCTAGGAGTGTAATTAGTGACATAATGTATGGAAGCACTCAATAAACTGTTGTTGTTGCTGAGGTTGCAGCAGTATTATTTGGATGGTTCAAGATTCCAACATATCAGATTCTCATCTCCTAGAAAAAGGGAACCTGAGCCTACTGAAAGCCAGGGCTATTCCCCAAAGATTTGATTAATACTTTAGCTAGGACTTCTGTGTTTGCAAGAGACAGAAACCCAACTAAATGGGTTTAAGGAAATTAAAATAATTTATTAATTTACATAATTTAAAAGTCCAGAGGTGAAGTCTGCTTTCAGGCATGATTGAATTCATGTACTCAAATAATGTTATCAAGTTTTAGCTTCTCTCCCAATTTTTAGTTTTATTTTCTACTGAATTGAATTTATTCTCAAGATGGCAGCTTCATCCTTATTCCCCACTAGCCTGGCAAATCAGCAGAAAGAGAACTCCAGTTGTCCAACAGTTTCAGTGAAAACCCCGGGGCTGCCCTTCATTGGCTCTGACTGTAGCGGCTTGGATTATGTGCCCAGCTTTGGACCAATCACCAAGGCCATACAAAAGTGGAACTCTCATTGGCTAGGCTGAGTCATGTGATTCCACCTCATTACTGAGACTGTGCCTAAAGTCACATTGGCTAAGAGCAGCATAAGAAGCATCCCCTGCAATAAAGGGGAAATCACCACAGATTCCACAGAAATTCAAACCATCATCAGAGAATAATACAAACAACTCTATGCACATAAACCAGTAAACCTGGAAGAAATGGATAAATTCCTGGACTCCTGTGTCCTCCCAACCCTAAACCAGGAGGAAGCTGAAACTATGAATAGACCAATAACAAGGTCTGAAGTCGAGGCAGCAATTAAGAGCCTACCACACAAAAAAAGCCCAGGTCCAGATGAGCTCACAGCTGAATTCTACCAGACACACAAAGAGGAGCTGGTACCATTCCTTCTGAAACTATTCCAAATAATCCAAAAAGAGGGAATCCTTCCCAAATCATTTCATGAGACCAACATCATTCTGATACCAAAACCCGGCAGAGACCCAACAAGAAAAGAAAACTTCAGGCCAATATCCATGATGAACATAGATGCAAAAATCTTCAATAAAATATTGGCAAATCGATTGCAACAGCAAATCAAAAAACTTATCCATCATGATCAAGTAGGATTCATCCCGGGGCTGCAAGGCTGGTTCAACATACGCAAGTCTATAAATGTAATTCACCACATAAACCGAACCAAAAACAAAAACCACATGATTATCTCAATTGACGCAGAGAAGGCATTCGACAAAATTCAACAGCCCTTTATGCTAAAAACCCTCAATAAACTCAGTATCAATGGAACGTATCTCAAAGTGATAAAAGCTATTTACGACAAACCAACAGCCAATATCATACTGAATGGGCAAAAACTGGAAGCATTCCCTTTGAAATCTGGCACTAGACAAGGATGCCTTCTTTCACCACTCCTATTCGATATAGTACTGGAAGTTCTAGCCACAGCAATCAGGCAAGAAAAAGAAATAAAGGGTATTCAAATAGGAAAGGTGGAAGCCAAATTGTCTCTATTTGCAGACGACATGAGAGTATACCTAGAAGACCCCATCGCCTCAGCCCAAAAACTCCTGAAACTGATAAGCAACTTCAGCAAAGTCTCAGGATATAAAATCAATGTGCAAAAATCACAAGCATTCCTCCACACCAATAACAGACTTAAAGAAAGCCAAATCAAGAGCGAACTGCCATTCGCAATTGCTACAAAAAGAATAAAATACCTTGGAATACAACTCACAAGGAACGTAAGGGACCTCTTCAAGGAGAACTACAAACCACTGCTCAACGAAATCAGAGAGGACACAAACAGATGGAGAAACATTCCATGTTCATGGTTAGGAAGAATTAATATCGTGAAAATGGCTATACTGCCCAAAGAAATTTACAGAATCAACACTATCCCCATCAAGCTACTATTGACTTTCTTCACAGAACTGGAAAAAACCACCATGAACTTTATATGGAACCAAAAGAGAGCCCGCATAGCCAAGTCAATTCTAAGCAAAAAGAACACAGCGGGGGGTATCACACTACCGGATTTCAAACTATACTACAAGGCTACAGTAATCAAAACAGCATGGTACTGGTACCAAAACAGAGATATAGACCAATGGAACAAAACAGAGGCATCGGAGGCAACACAACATATCTATAACCATACAATCTTTGATAAACCTGACAAAAACAAGCAATGGGGAAAGGATTCCCTGTTTAATAAATGGTGTTGGGAAAACTGGCTAGCCATGTGCAGAAAGCAGAAACTGGACCCCTTCCTGACACCTTACACTAAAATTAACTCCAGATGGATTAAAGACTTAAACATAAGACCTGGCACCATAAAAACCCTAGAAGGAAATCTAGGCAAAACCATTCAGGACATAGGAGTAGGCAAGGACTTCATGAACAAAACACCAAAAGCATTGGCAACAAAAGCGAAAATAGACAAATGGGACCTAATCAAACTCCACAGCTTCTGAACAGCAAAAGAAACAGTCACTAGAGTGAATCGGCAACCAACAGAATGGGAAAAAATTTTTGCAGTTTACCCATCTGACAAAGGGCTGATATCCAGAATTTACAAAGAACTCAAACAGATTTACAGGAAAAAAACAAACAAGCCCTTTCAAAAATGGGCAAAGGATATGAACAGACACTTTACAAAAGAAGACATATATGAGGCCAACAATCATATGAAAAAATGCTCATCATCACTGGTCATTAGAGAGATGCAAATCAAAACCACATTGAGATACCATCTCATGCCATTTAGAATGGCAATCATTAAAAAATCTGGAGACAACAGATGCTGGAGAGGATGTGGAGAAAAAGGAACACTTTTACACTGTTGGTGGGAGTGTAAATTAGTTCAACCATTGTGGGAGACAGTGAGGCGATTCCTCAAGGCCTTAGAAATAGAAATTCCATTTGACCCAGCAATCCCATTACTGGGTATATATCCAAAGGACTATAAATCGTTCTACTGTAAGGACACATGCACACGAATGTTCATTGCAGCACTGTTTACAATAGCAAAGACCTGGAACCAACCCAAATGCCCATCGATGATAGACTGGATTGGGAAAATGTGGCACATATACACCATGGAATATTATGCTGCAATCAGAAATGATGAGTTCGTGTCGTTTGTAGGGACATGGATGAATCTGGAGAACATCATTCTCAGCAAACTGACACAAGAACAGAAAATGAAACACCGCATATTCTCACTCATAGGAGGGTGATGAAAAATGAGAACACATGGACACAGGGAGGGGAGTACTAAACACTGGGGTCTATTGGGGGGAAGAGTGGAGGGCCAGCGGGGGGGGGAGCTGGGGAGGGATAACCTGGGGAAAAATGACAAATGTGGGTGAAGGGAAGAAAGGAAGCAAAACACACTGCCATATGTGTACCTATGCAACTATCTTGCATGTTCTGCACATGTACCCCAAAACCTAAAATGCAATAAAAAATTAAAAAAAAAAAAAGAAGCATTTCCTGCAAACTGCTGGAATTACAAGCATGAGCCACTGCACCCGGCCTCTGGTGAGGGTATATATATAGATACACACATGTATATATATATATCTCTCTCTTTCTCTCCCTCTCTCTTTATATGTATATACATATATATATGTATATACTTATATATTTGCACACACACACATACACACACACATATATATATATATTATTTGCCCTCCAGGAGGTTTATATATATATAACAATGCACATGCCCTTTAAGAATTCTAGGAATTTATCCCACGGTAAAGGGCAAAATAATCTATATACAAGCACTGTTAGTAACAGAAAATGATTGGAAATAATCTAAATATCCATTCGCCAGGGGACTGGCTAAATAAATGATGGTGCATACATTCAATAAAATATTATAAAACGACAGCTGTAAAAAGGAATGAAGCAGCTCTTTATGTAATGATTTGGGATGAATTGCAACATATACTAAATGAAAAAGACAAGATGAATAATAGTTACTACAGTATGCTATTTATGTTAAAAACTTGCAGGTACAGCAAAGAAAAGTATTCATAATTGCTTTTATAAACATAAAAATTCTTTGGAAGTGCTAGGCATAGTAGCTCATGCCTGTGATCCCAGCATCTTGGGAGCCAAGTTGGGAGGCTGCTTGTGACCAGCCTGGGCAACGAAGTGAGACCCTGTCTCTAAAAACATTTTTAAAAATTAAAAACAAAATTCTCTGTAAGGAAAGTGGCGAGTGGTAGTTACTTACATGATTACAAGGGAGCAAGACTTTTCACTACATAGTTTTATACTTTTTTATTATTTAGCCATGTAAAATATACTATCTGTTCAAAAATCAAATATTTTTTAAAACAAGTTATATATATAGTACAGTCTTAATATTTTTAAAAGACACATAAATGCATAGAAAAAAAGAAGAAAATATACCTAAATGTTAGAGTGGTTATTATCGCTTAGTGTTGGGATTATGGGTGATATTTACTTTCTTCTAAAGTCTCTTTGGTATATTCTGAATTTTCAACAAAGAAAGTATTTTACTTATATATTCAGAAAAAGAAAGAACAGCATAGGGAGCATACTGGAAAGATAATCAAGACAAAGAATGAGAGAATGAATTATGAAGAAACGAAAACAAGAGTTAAACCCTCTACAGTGAGCGTTCAGGTAGGTGCGACAGCTCTTCCCCAAACACAGAAGTAGTTGCTTAATCTTAGGAGTGGTGGGAGAAGCAGTGTTTGGAGGCCAGGCCAGGTCAGCATCAGATGGAGTTCTAACCCAATTCTTCAATTCTCTTCAAAGCCAGACTCAGCACGGGGTCTGCTGGCATCAGTGGGAGAACCTAAAGGAAGCAAAGGACAGAGGAGCCAGTGCAGGATTCTGATTGTCCAGGCTTGTGTCATGTGACCACTTCTGTATACAGAGGACAAACATACAAAGAACATTACCTTTTTGTTTTTTCAGAGTTCTCCAGAGAAACAGACCCAACAGGGCGCGTGTATGTGTGTGTGTGTGCCTGTGTGTGTGCACAAGGAGGAACAGCGCTTCCCTTGCCCTGGCGGTGGAATGGAGCCTTCACTAGTTTTCTTTCCTTCCCTGTCTCACCTTCCCATCCCTCCCAGTGCTTCCTGGGATCACACCCCAAATACACCACTTCAACCCAAATCCTGTCTTAGGGTCATTACTTTAAATCTGGCCATCCAGAAACACAACTTGGGTCATCCTATTTCCCCATGTAAAACTCATCACTGCTCTCAGAAGAGCCCAGATTTTTCAACAGGGAATACGAGGTTCTCCAAGCTCTGGCCACTGCTGACTGTTTTGAATTCATTTCCTGCTCACCCCCACATATTGCTCTATACAATTCTTACAGCACCCTGAAAACATCATAGTGGAGGCCTGCCTCCAAGCCTTTAAACACACTGCACTGTCTTCCAAGAATTCCCTTCCTGACCCCCATTTCCTCTGTCCCCCGTCATCCCTGTCTGGATCAAGTGAACTCTTTTTATTGAAGATAAACTCAAGAATCTTCTTGTCCTAAAACCTTTTCTAACACTGACCCCCACCCCCAGCCCCATAAACAGCATCAGATACCTGCTCCTTAGTCTTTCAACTTTACCCTGCACATCTTGATTAGAACATTTCCCATGCTCCAGTGTACCTGTTTACATGAATTATTTTCCCAATTTAAAAAGGAGAGTTTCTTTTTGAGGCAGGGTCTTACTCAGTTGCCCAGGCTGAAGTATGATGGCATAATCATGGCTCACTGGATCCTCGACTGACCAGCCTCAAGCAAACCTCCTACCTCATCCTCCCAAGTAGCTGGAACCATAGGCGTCCGCCACCACGACTGGCTGTTTTGTTTTTGTTTGTTTGTTTTTTGTCGAGATGGGGCCCCGCTATGTTCCCCAGGCTGATCTCAAACTCCTGGGCTCAGGTGATCCTCCTGCCTCAGCCTCCCAAAGTGCTGGGATTACAGATGTGAGCCACCATGTCCAGCCAAGGAGACTTTTGAGAATCATGACAACACCTTATTTTATCCTCAAATTGTAGTAGAGTAACCAGTACTAGCAATTACACAATGCTTGTTGAATGAATAAGGAAGTACTCTGAAGAACCCAGGAATTATTAACACCCACCCTTACCCCTTTGCCCACAACTTGCTTTCTCAGAAAGAAAAATAAAAATAGTTTAAAAGGGCTGTGAAGTTGATAGAATACTGATGTATTAAATGTGTATTGGTAAACGTTGGCCCAGTAGCTGGAAAGTTCATACAGAATAATGATAATGAAAGATACTTTGTAAACTGTTAAGTACCAAGGATATATTCAGTGGCGTTTTTATTACAAGTAGCATCAGTAATTTAGGGAAACAAGAAAACTAGGAACCAGCGTGCCTTGCTGAAAGTCTTTCAGGAAGTAAATAGGAAAGGCAGGATTACAAGGAAGTTTCTGAATTTTGTCCCAACATTTTCTACATGTAAATACGCATCAAAAACATGACCGCAGATGTGGAAATAAAAGATAGTTCAAGCTTTTCCTGAAGTTTGGAGATAAAAGAGTCAGAATCTAATGAATATTAACAGCAGTCCCCACCTGAGTTCCCTGATCCAGGCCCTTTGCAGACATTATCTGTAAGCCTTATGACTCTGCTGTCTCCTGAATATCTTAGCTCCGATTTACAGAAAGAAAATAGAAACTTACAGGGGTTAGGTCACTTACCTGGAGAGGTGAAGGCCATACATGGTGACTTATGCCTGTAATTCCAGCACTTTGGGAGGCCAAAACTGGAGGATTGCTTGAGGCCAGGAGTTTGAGACCAGCCTAGGCAGTATAGCAAGTGAGACCTCTGTCTCTACAAAAGAATTTTAAAAGGGTCAGGCACCATGGCTCATGCCTGTAATCTCAGTACTCTGGGAGGCCAAGGCGGGAGGATAGATTGAGACCAGGAGCTTGAGACCTGCCTGGGGCAACATAGTGAGACCCTGTCTCTACTAAAAATTAAGAAATTAGCCAGTCATGGTGGTGCATATCTGTAATCCCAGCTACTAAGAAGGCTAAAGTGGGGGGATTGCTTGAGTCTGGGAGGTAGAGGCTGCAGTGAGCCATGTTTGTGCCGCATGCACTCCAGCCTGGGTGACAGAGCAAGACTGTCTCAAAAAATAAAAATAAAAACAAAAATAATTTTTTAATAATTTTAAAAATAATAAAAAATAGAAGCTGAGCTCAGATTCAAATGCAGATATGGTTCATTCCAGAACCTTTTGTCTCCTGCTTCCCACCACTCTCAAAAACAGAAGCTGACATTGCTAAGGCAGTTCTGTGTGTCAGGCACTTACTTACCCGTAATCCTCATAATAACACTGCAAGGTAATTTCAGTTATAATTTCCCAAGTTGTGCAGATGAGGAAACTGTTTAATGGAAGGTCAAAGGTCGAACAAGAATTTGGCCCCTTTGAACATGAGAGACCATGTTCTTTCTATGCCTTCCTGTTTCTTAGTTCTGGCTGTTCATCAGAAAAAAACAAAGAGCTTTTGAAAAACTATGAATCTCCAGATACCATCCTTTTAAAGCCTGATACAGTCATCGCCATCACAAAAAAAAAAAAAAAAAAATTGTGGAAATTAATTAGGTGGGTGAAGGCAGAGAGGAGAGGACTATTTGGTTCAAACCAAAGCACCACAGAGAAATACAAAAAGATTTCTGCAAATGTGTACCCCTTGTCCTGATACTGACAACTTTGCAACTGAGGGAGTAGAAAACTCTGACCTCGAATGTATATGGCTACAAGACAGCAGAGAGATAGAGTCACAAGAGAATAAAAATTGAAGTATGAGATTACTTTAAGGTGGGGGTTTCACAAGTGGCTCTCTTGGAGTGGTTAAGTAAGGGATAGCACAGTCACACAAATAGCTACTTGGCAGCCTTGAAATGGGATGAATTTGCTCTAAAATTCATAGACATGGAAAGATGTCCAGGGCATGGTAAACAAAAAAGCCAATGGTGAAACACCTCAAACAGTACGATCCTGTCTGTAAGTATAACAGGAGCATGCACTTTTTAGAGCATAGTAGCATATACTAGCGGGGCGCAGTGGTTCGTGCCTGTAATCCCAGCACTTTAAGAGGCTGAGGTGGGAGGATCACTTGAGGTCAGGAGTTCAAGACCAGCTTGGCCATCATGGTGAAACCTTGTCTCTACTAAAAATACAAAAATTAGCCAGGCACGCTAGTGCGTGCCTGTAATCCCAGCTACTCAGGAGGCTGAGGCAGGAGAACTGCTTGAACCTGTGAGGCAGAGGTTGCAATGAGCTGAGATTTCACCACTGCACCACAGCCTGGGCGACAGGGCAAGACTCCATCTCAAAAACAAACAAAAAACCATTGCAGCATACACTATAGTACAATACAGGATAGTACAATGTCATGTAGTACATACTACATGTGTGTGTATACAGTATAAATGTATGATGTTCACATACATAGTAATCGTTCTATGTAAATACACACTATATGTGTGTGTATACAATATAAATGTATGATGTTCACATACATAGTAATCGTTCTATGTAAATACACACTATATGTGTGTGTATACAGTATAAATGTATGATGTTCACATACATAGTAAATCGTTCTACGTAAATACATACTACATGTGTGTGTATACAGTATAAATGTATGATGTTCACATACATAGTAATCGTTCTACGTAAATACATACTATATGTGTGTGTATACAGTATAAATGTATGATGTTCACATACATAGTAATCGTTCTATGTAAATACATACTACATGTGTGTGTATACAATATAAATGTATGATGTTCACATACATAGTAATCGTTCTATGTAAATACATACTACATGTGTGTGTATACAATATAAATGTATGATGTTCACATACATAGTAATCGTTCTATGTAAATACATACTACATGTGTGTGTATACAATATAAATGTATGATGTTCACATACATAGTAATCGTTCTATGTAAATACATACTACATGTGTGTGTATACAGTATAAATGTATGATGTTCACATACATAGTAATCGTTCTATGTAAATACATACTACATGTGTGTGTATACAGTATAAATGTATGATGTTCACATACATAGTAATCGTTCTATGTAAATACATACTACATGTGTGTGTATACAATATAAATGTATGATTTTCACATACATAGTAATCGTTCTATGTAAATACATACTACATGTGTGTGTATACAGTATAAATGTATGATGTTCACATACATAGTAATCGTTCTATGTAAATACATACTACATGTGTGTATACAGTATAAATGTATGATGTTCACATACATAGTAATCGTTCTATGTAAATACATACTACATGTGTGTGTATACAATATAAATGTATGATGTTCACATACATAGTAATCGTTCTATGTAAATACATACTACATGTGTGTGTATACAATATAAATGTATGATGTTCACATACATAGTAATCGTTCTATGTAAATACATACTACATGTGTGTATACAGTATAAATGTATGATGTTCACATACATAGTAATCATTCTATGTAAATACATACTATATGTGTGTATACAGTATAAATGTATGATGTTCACATACATAGTAATCATTCTATATAAATTCAGCAGTAAATAGTAAATATAGTAATTGTGCTGCATTTATTATGCATCTATAGAAAGCATGAATATGTTATATCTGAATATAGTATGATCCTGTTTGTTATGTAGTTGGAATACACATAAATATATAGACGAATGCTCATCAAAATATTGATAGGAGTGGGGTTTGGAGGGATTTTTTTTCTTTTCTTCCTTCCACAAATATTTATTGAGTTCTAATTTGTACCAGACATCATCTTTCTTCCTTATAACTTCTTACAATTGCCTTAAAATTCTAAAAGCATGTCCTTATTTTTACCTCGATGAACAGATAATTTGAAAAGAAAATGGGCTCCTGTCACTATCTCCAGTAACCACAGATGGGGCCTTTGGCGACATTTTCAGGAGACCCAGGAGAAGTGAAAAGATAGGGAGAAGAGAGGCAAACATGGATTCCCCCTGCCTCCTCCTCCCGCCTCTGCACACTCATTTTTTTCTTTTTCTTTTGGTCGGGGGGTCACCATCTGTACATTTGTTCTGCACAAAAATAAAGCCATCCATCTCCCTTACAGTGGTGTCATGTAAGCTCAGGAAAAACCACAGCGCACAAGGGGGGCCCTGAGTGGGAAAAACACTTATCTGCCTGGAGTTCAGAGATCCCCCGAAGGCGTCCTTCGCTGGACTCAGGGGGTGGGTTTTGTTTATTCCCCTGGCTCACAATGAAATGTCAGGAACACATGCTCAGGGTGAGGTGGGGCCCTACGGAGGTTAAAAATGGAACAGCGGCTTTGATCTCAGGCCAACACCAATGACGCTCGGGGTTGGGGCCAGAGGGAGACGTCATGTTCCCTCACTGTCTCCGCAGAAGGCGCAGACAGTACCCTCCCGCCTCCAAGAGCAGGCGCAGCCCCAGACTGGAAAATGGACGGGAGGCCCCAGACCAGGAGTGGGGCCTGGGGAGCTGGGAGAAGTGGGGGGGAGAGGGGGCGCACAGAGGGCCTTCTCCACCGCAAGTGGGAAGCCCCCATCAAAACGGGCATTATCTGATGGTGCCAGGACTTGGAATGGAACCCTCAGGGTGTCTGGAGCGGGAACAAAGGTCGGGAGGCCCAGGAATCTCCTCCCCGTTCTGAGGGATCCGCAGCCGCCATGTTGTGCTCACCTTCCTAGACTCCCTTCCTGTGGTGCTCGGAGCGCCTCTCTTCCCGCATCCAGCCGGTGTATGCGGAGGGTCTGGTCTGCTCTGAAACTGGACCCAGTGCTGGAGATCCAACAGTGGCAACATCCAGTCTCGGTCTTTCTTCTTCTCAAGGTCTGGTGGGAAAGAGAGGTGCGGGACAGATAGTAGCAACAAGGGCAAGAGTTCTAAGGAGCGTGAGTAGAGGGGGCAGGAGACCACGCTGGGGCTGGCAACCTGGGCTTGTCCGGGAAGAGCAGGGAGGAAATCTTAGAGAAAGCTGGAGATATGTAAATTGAGGCCTGGAGAATAAAAACAAGAGCTCACTGGGTAAAAGAAGTGAGGGAAGAGTGTCCAAGTACGGGGGACAGCATCTGACCTCAAGAAAGGCAGGGTGTAGATGAGAAGACCTGAAGGAAGGAAACAGGTGTGAGGTGAGAGAGCAGGAACAGGGCGTTTGCACAAACATGAACTGGCTGCTCCCACTCTCGGTGACTTTTACTACCAAATTGTTCCACCGCTTCTTGGGGATGTTGAGTGAAGAAATCTCCGTGCATTCAGGCTGCTGTAATAAACCACTATAAATCGCACAGCTTGTAAACAACAGAAATTTATTTCTCACAGTTCTGGAGACCAGAAGTCCAAGATCAAGGCACCCACAGATTTAGTGTTTGGTGAGGGCCACTTCCTGGTTCATAGATAGCCATCTTTTTGCTATACTTTCACTTGGCAGAAGGGACAAATGAGCTCCCTTGAGCCTCTTTAATAAAGGCATTAATCCTATTCCTGAGGGCTTTCCTCTCCCAACTTAATAACTTCCCAAAGGCCCTATGTCCTAGTATTTTTATCCTGGGGTTTAGGATTTCAACATACGAATTTGGAGGGGACACAAACTTTCAGACCATAGCAAAATCATTATTCTAATTAGAGTCAACATTTTCATTGAGCATGCACTATGAGCCAATAACTCTTAAATAAATGATCTCATTGCATTCTCACGAAAATATTCTACAATTTAACCATCTGAAGACTGTACACAGTGGCCTATAATCCCAGATACTCAGGAGGCTGAGTCAGGAGGATTGCTTGAGGCTGGGAGTTGAAGACCAGCCTGGACAATGTAGCAAGACCCTACTTCTAATCACCATCATTGTCATCACCATCATCATCAGAAGGTCAAAAAGATTGCTAAAACCCACCAAGGTCATACAGTAAGTGTATATATGTATATATGTCAGGCGGGGGTGGATTTGAACCCAGTCCTTTGAATACCACTTTTTGCACTTGTTCCATCTTAGTAGGGAAAGATTTCCTTACTCCAGTTTGGTGACTGAACCACCTCCCAGATTAGAGATAAAAATTTCATCCATCTGTCAACTCACCCGTTCAGTCAGTCAATGGTTGCACATTCGTTGGTGTCTACTTTGAGAAGTCCTCATCTCTCCCTCTCTACCTTCCCTTGCCTGTTTCTCAAAGAATCCCCTGGAATATGTTTACACCCTGGATTTTAGGAGGGCATTTCAGTCTTCCAAGAGAGCATGGAACCTCAGAGATGGAACTGTTTGAGTTTTTCTCTGCAGCTTAAGGTCACATTTTAAAGTTCACCCAGTTGCTTTATCTGGTGTTATACATCAAAAGCCATTTGGAAGTGCCTCTGGGCTGGGACTTAGAATATCTTAATGTCACGAGATGTGTTAAGGTCTAAGGCAGGACTTGAAATTTTAGAAGTAGAAATAAATTTTGAGCTTATCTAGTGCATCCTCCTGGTTTCACAATTACAAAATTAGGTACAAAAAGAGGAAACAACTTTCCCAAAGGCATATGGATATTTGATACAAATGTTTTTTCATATGGTGTGGGGAATATACTTTGCTATTATCTACTAATTCATGGTAGGTTTTCTTTTTTCCCTGTGCATGGGTATTCAAAATCTTAAATGTCTTCAAGAATGAGGAACTAAAGTATTTTTTATTTTTTACTTTTAATAACAGCAATCATGAAAATGTTTATTCTTCAAATGTGGGAGGACTGAATACTTCCTTGTAGCTCTTAAAACTCTACAATAAAGGTGGTTAATAAGCTATATTACAGTTATTTTGTAACTAAGATCTAAACTACAGAAAAGAAAAAAATAAAGACACACACACACACACACACACACACACACACACACACCCCTCCATCACTGAATACTCTCATATATAAAATAGAAAGATAGCCTTAGACCCAAAAATTATGTCATGATAGAAAACAAACCTCAAACAAGATTTCATATCAAAGATTTGACATCACCTCTGAATGTCATGATATGAAGGATGGTGCCGAGCTGAAAGTGTTTATCATCACCTTCATGATCATAGAATCTTCTGGGTTAGAGAATTAAGCTTTCAGATGTTACCATTTAAACTTGGGCCCAACACAATGGAGAAAGAAGACAAGGTACCGGGGTCTCTGAATATTACTTCATCCTGAGCATTCTCACTGATCCCCAGTGAGTTAGGACCCTCTCTTCTTTAAACCAGATTTATTATATAGTGTCTAGGTGTTTGTCCTCTCCAGTAGCTTATCAACTCCCTGAGAAACCATGCCTACCTGGTTTGTTCTTGTGTATCTGTGCCTAGTGTATAGCAGGCATTTGACAAATAATTGTAGTATGCAATACCAAATGCTTGGGTATTTGGATTATACATGAATTGAGTGTCACCAAGGAAGAGTCTAGAGTTTTCTTCTTTATAATTTCAGTTTTGGTCTTTTGTTAATCATTAGGGTTTTAAAAAAAACTATCATATTTCTCATAATTAATGTTATTAGCTTGTTTTAAATAAAACTAGTTCTCCTTTATCTGAAAGCTCATGGAAGGTAAGCTTATAAAGAAGAAGACTTAGGACGCTGTCTTTACACTCCAAAATTCTGGTATGGGCAAAAAGAGAAAAGATGTTACCCCATTCGTTCTGCTAACTCCTTCCATGAAAGCTGCTAGGCAGAGTCACAGATATCTCTATTGTGTGAAGCCCATTTTCTCAAGAGTAGCAAGCAGAAAGATGAAGTCATGAGAGGCACTAAAACTAGGTGTCCTAAAACCCCAGATCTCTGTCTCAGACAGTGGCATTCACAAAAGACATGTGGCACCCCATCACACACAGAGGCAGAATTTGAGCAAGCAGGGTCAGTGACTTCAACAGAATTACCACCCAAAGAGTGACAGAGCACAACTTTCTTTGTCTCCCAGTGACAGGTGACACCATCCCACAGGCGCCTCCCCAGCAAGGAGCCAAAGCATCATGTTCATTCTTCTGTGGCTAAGCCACCATCAGCCTTTTTAAAACAAAGCAACTTTAACACCCAAGGAATGTTGCTGTAAGAGAAAATCTCCTATCGCTTCTGTTGTAGGAGCTGGGTGGCATGGAAACAAGCCAAGGGCTACATGCAAGAAAAAGAAATGAGAAATGAAAACAACTGGGGTGGTTACCAAAGAAAAGGAGACAGCCAAATTGGGAGACAAGGAAGTTACTGGTCTCTGGAGGTTCCCAGGCTGGGTAAATTTGGGATTTGTACATTCTGAGCTTCCTCTCTGATGGGGTCTTCTGAGGGTCTGTGGAGAAGCCAAGGAAAGTGAAATAAGACACCCCGGGGAGGGGAGGGGGACGTTGTGTTCCCTTTAAGCTGCTGAACTACACCCTGAAAATTCTGGATTTTCAGGTGCTACCATCTTTTCTGGATGGAATCATGCCATCTCTTTTGTTTGTTATTTTTCTTAATGTTCTTGGCCTAGAAGATTAAATTCTTGGGTGGGCCCAAGCAGCATGGTGTCACTCTGCCATTTTCTGGTTGTGTCACATTAGGCAGGAAATTTTATCATCTCCCGAAGTCCCACTGTCCTGCTATGTAACATGGAGATGCTAATCCAAACATCAATGGATTATTTTAAATATTTAATGAAATCGGTGCTGTAAAGAGTCTGATTTATAGACAGCAGATATTCATTTCCATCCCCTTTCCTCTATTTCCTCTGTAAATTAAAATTCTCCTTATTAACTGCCATAAACAACTCTGTGGAAATTAATAAGCCAAGTCTGAAAGATGAATAAAGAATTTCATTCCTTTCACAAAGAGAAAACCGTGTATCTGGGAAATTGGGCTATGGTGACCATTCCTTGCATTGTCTTGCTGTTTATTTATTTTCTCAATAATCAATGCAGTGACAGCGATGGCATCCTACATTTGAAAGTTACTACACTTGAAAAATACTCCTGAAATATTTGGAGACTTTTACAGGAAGTCAAAGAATTCTAGAAACACTTTATAAAAGAGTGAGCTGTGGGAGCTGGAAAACAGTGTACCTTGTGGGAAATTTTCCATTTTGAACAAGTGGCATATAATTGGGTAATAATAATAATAAGGCCGTGGGCGGTGAGTTTAATCCCCGCCCTTTGGGAGTCCAAGGCAGGTGGATCACTTGAGGTCAGGAGTTTGAGACCAGCCTGACCAACACATGAAACCCCATCTCCACTACAAACACAAACAAAATTAGCTGGGTGTGGTGGCGGGCACCTGTAATCCTAGCTACTTGAGAGGCTGAGGCAAGAGAGTTGTTTGAACCTGGGAGGTAGAAGTTGCAGTGAGCCGAAATCATGCCATTGCACTCCAGCTTGGGGGACAGAACGAGACTCCATCTCAAAACATATGTATATAAAAATAATAGTAATCAAACTAGATACAATCAAAATAGTGGTAACAATAATAATAGCTCCCATTTCTTAAACACGTAAGTATGTGTTGGGCATTCTCTGAAACGCTTTCTGTATATTCTCTCATGAAATTCTCAACACATTCTCCCAGCAAGATCCTGTATTATTCATGTACTTTACTGAAGAGGAAGTTGTATCGTGAAGAGGTGGCATGTCTTGCCCTAAACTTGCACCAATATGCAGTGAAGCCAGGATGGCAATCTTGATGATCTTGAACCATCTCTCTTCAGAGCTAGGAGGGTGTTTTTATTTTTACCCTTTTGGGACTATTACAACTCTTTTTCTTTCTTTTCTTTTTTTAAGACAAAGTCTTGTTCTGTCACCCAGGCTGGAGCACAATGGCGAAATCTCGTCTCACTGCAACCTCCGCCTCCTCGGTTCAAGTGATTCTCTTGCCTCAGTCTCCCAATTAGCTGGGATTACAGATGCCCATCACCACACCCAGCTAATTTTTGTATTTTTAGTAGAGTCGGGGTTTCACCATCTTGGCCAGGCTGGTCTTGAATTCCTGACCTTGTGATCCACTCTCCTTGGCCACCCAAAGTGCTGGAATTACAGGCGTAAGACACAGCACCCGGCCCAAATCGTTTTCTTATTCTGTCTGCCTGTGATGTTCTGTTTTTATGTCTCTCAGTGGGTCTCTTGAGTTTTTCTCTCCTCTCTCTCTCTCTCTCTCTCTCACACACACACATCCAAGACCCCCACACTACACACACTGTACACACATATTCACAAACACACATCTATACACATAACATACATCCACACTGCACACACACGTGTCTCACATATTTCATATCCAGACACCACACTCACACATACAAAAGAACCATGCAGACATATACACAACACTTACATATACACTCACATGCCTTCCACATAAACACGCATGCACACCACACACAAACACATATGCATTATATAGTCACACTGCATGTACATACCCATACACATAACACATATATACTCTATAAACACATATATCACACACAGAGCCATGCACATACTTAATATTTACACTGAACAGACACACATATTACATACATAGTCACACTGCATGTACATACCCACAAACATGTCACACATATACTCTATACAGGCATGTATCACACATACTAGCATACACATACTTAACATCCACACCCTACACACACACATACCACACACACACTCCACTCACACACAGTCCACACACAAGTCATGTATACATAAACACCCCTAAACAGACACACACACAAACACACTGCACTGGTCGGCAGTTTGTCTGACACACTTGATCCTGTATATTTCTTTTCTTTTTTTTTTTTACATAGTCTTGCTCTGTCACCCAGGCTGGAGTACAGTGGTGCAATCTCAGCTCAGTGCAACCTCCACCTCCCAGGTTCAAGTGATTCTCTTGCCTCAGCCTCCCTAGTAGCTGGGTTTATAGGCACCTGCCACCATGCTGGCCAATTTTTATATTTTTAGTAGAGACAGGGTTTCACCATGTTGGCCAGGCTGGTCTTGAACTCCTGACCTCAGGTGATCCCCCCGCCTCAGCCTCCCAAAGTGCTGAGGTTACAGATGTGTCATCATGCCCTGCTTAATCTCTGTATTTTTCTCATCCCACATTTGCAGACCAACTTTGATAGAGTAAAATGATGATAACTCAAATGTCTAAAACTACTATTAGACATTTTGTATTTGAAATATTTTTGCTGTGATTCTTGGACCAAATCTTTTAAAGCTCTATGAGTTTTATTGATCAGGTTTTCAGATAGCTCTGAATTTTTGGAATGATCCTCTTAAACCTTAAAGCCATACGTATTTGTTTTATCTAAGAACCAGAAGACCAAGGTTCTAGTACCAGCTATGGCACTAACCAGCTTAGAAGGTCTCACTCCCTGTGTGCAGTCTGTATAACAGGGGACCTGCATCCCCCATTGTCTTCCCTTACTCCCCCTGGCTTCCTTCCGGAACCCTGAACCTTCACTAAACACGGTTTGAAAATTATGAGACTAACTAGTCCACCAAATCTGTTCTATCTCTGCAATTCTACAATGCTTTGAGGTTATATAAAATTAATAATAATGATAATAACAATAATGTTGAATGTGGAAAATATGAAGAAAAGGAAAAAAGAAACAGTCATAGCACATAATCCAAAACCAAAGATAAATGACATCTTGAATATTCATTTTTGTATTATCTGTGCTAAAATGCCACTCGGCGGCAAATGATTAGGGGTTTCATCATGTGGTTCTGGCCAGCCTTCAGTAATTCGTACTTTTTGCATCCACAAACTCAACCATTGAAATACCCCAAATCCCAGTCATCTGACCCCTTCTCTTTCTTTCAAGGATTAATGGCTGGAACAGTGAGAGATCATTCTTATTATAAAATTATATTAAAAATATTGCTTATTGGAGCACAGTTACTCATGCCCTCCAAAGTCTGCTCATCAATAACTAACTGGATGCATTTGGAGAGACCACAGAGTGAATTTAGTCTTTACCTCGTTTCACTGTGCATGGGTTGATCTTCCAAATTCAAATAGTTACACTGGCATCTGTCCACCTCGAGAAGGTAGAACAGTTCTGTAGAGTCTTGTATAAATAAATGGATTTGCATTGGGCCAGTCTTTGGTTGGCTGATAATAAAAAGTAATGAACAAACTCAAGGGGACAGAGAACATGGCCATGGTGCAATGTTTTTGGATGAGGGCATGTGACTTGAGTCTCTGATTTGACCAAAAATGGTCTTTCATAACCAGAGCTGTTATGGAAAACTTCGTTGACTACAAGTTAAACTGTAACTGTAGATAAGGGAAGAGAACTCCAACTCAAAGTCAAACTGTCAGTGCTTAAAGTAATCAATCGGAAGAATTGCAAGACATGTGGCACCTCAAAGTGAAAACAGATGGACTAATGTGTATTGATCTCCAATGGCTTGTTGACACCCTTTTGAAACAGAGGCAATAAAGGGCAGTGCAGGGCAGGGAGGTACTTTAAGTGGAGAGGGGTAAACCATGGGGGATTTAAAAAACCCTGCAGCAAGGACTCTTCACTGAACTCTGAGCTTCATTTCAGAATATCACCCTGAAGTCCTTTGAGCCAACAGCTGGAACTTAGATAAGATGAAGGGTTTTGTTTCTATCACCACCTGACCAATTTCTCTACTCTCACGTTTATTTTTATTCTCCTCTTCATTATTTTTATTCTCTCATCTCAGCTTCCCAAGCTCCCGTGGCTTCCAGAGAGATCAGCAGGAATAACACAGGTCCCACGGGATGGATGTTCACGGAGGACTCAGCCCTCCACCAGTAAAATGTACATCACTTTTTAGGGGGTCTCCTAACTTGTGTTTAAATTGGGATTAGGGGCCACACAACTCAGAGGCTATGATCTTGCTCCAGGCATTCCCTCTGCACTTTTATTATGTACAAGGGGCATTGCCACCTTCCTCCTGCCTAATGTTCTGAAGACTTTGAAATGCCATAATTAAGTGGAGGGCTAGAGAGAGGTGAGAAAACATGTCTTGGCCTCTTTGCATGTTACATTAGCAAACTGTGCCCTTGGTCTATGGTCTAAACTGACTGGCTTACACATAGCATGGGAATCTAAGCCATCCAAGGAGAGTGAGTGTCATTGGATTATCACTTCCCAACTAGTAGAAAAGGCACCCACAACAGAAGGAGGTACAAGTTGTGAATAAATAGGGCTATTCACTATTAGTTAATATGGAATTCTCAGCCATATTAATCTGAGAAGAGCCCAACTCAGGCTGGGGAGAGATACTGGTCACACTTTCTGTTTCCATCTCTTCCTCTTATTTTCTTTTTTTTTTTTTTTTTTAATTGAGACAGAGTTTCGCTCTTGTTACCCAGACTGGAGTGCAATGGCACGATCTCGGCTCACCGCAACCTCCGTCTCCTGGGTTCAGGCAATTCTCCTGCCTCAGCCTCCCGAGTAGCTGGGATTACAGTCACGCGCCACCATGCCCAGCTAATTTTTTGTATCTTTAGTAGAGACAGGGTTTTTCACCATGTTGACCAGGATGGTCTCGATCTCTTGACATCGTGATCCACCCGCCTCGGCCTCCCAAAGTGCTGGGATTACAGGCTTGAGTCACCACACCCGGCCTCTTCCTCCTATTTTCTTCCTCACCCCCACCTTGATGGTGGAACAGAAAAACAGTTCTTTTGTTTTTCTGTTTAATGCTGTTCCTAAGTATGGCAAAGTAGTTACTAATGAAACCACCAGGCATCACCATACCAGTCAGGGTGTCT